ATCAGTGGGCGCCCAGGACTTCTTTGACCTATAGGCTGTATTCCCTGCCACATATCCACATACAGCTCACCATGAGCAATAGGGTGTGTAACGACACCCAAAATCTCTAGAGAAGCACTCTGCAAACATTTAAATCTTCACAAAAGAATAATAGACTTAATAATCTCAAAATATCCTTCATCGAAGAAGATGAATATAAACCTAAGAAACATAATTCTAGATACTGTCCAGGATTTTTAACCCTTTGCCAAATGCTAACTAGAAACAAATACATTTTACCATTTTGAGTGTATTCATGCACTTCATGGAAATCAGAAGTCCTTTGACAGTAGGTCTCTAGTTGGATCTTTTTAGAATATTCTAAATGACCTGTTTTCCCAATATTTTCAGTATATATTTCCTTTACAAGTTGATTTCACCTTAGTATCAAAGCAGTACATGCTCATGCTGTAGTTTGAAAATGTATTGAATTTTTATAACATCTCTGAAATTCAAGCCAGACCCATAACAAATAACATTACAGTGAAATTTGCCTACAGACTCATTGCCTGGGCTAGCCCAACCATATATAATATCCCTAACTAAACTGCAAGATTCCTAGAGCTTTTCTATTACGATTTTCTTTTCCTTAATGTGAATCATAATGGTTTCTCCACACTTACATTAATTTTTAATCACAGTCTCTTACACTGTTGATTGAATTCCCCACCACTGCTAATGGCCTTTCTTGTAATATTCATACATTTAAAATATGTATGCTGATGCCATATCTTATATTTCAAAGGAGACCTGTTTAAAGCCAAAAGCAAGATAATAGTCACATGGATGTTAGGCCACAGTGGGTTACCATGTGTTTGATCAGTCTTGCCACCAGAAAAATTCTTAAAATCTCAGTTGAAAAAAATGGCTCTATTAGGATTTAAAAAAAAAAAAAGGAGAATTATTCATGGGTTACTTTGTATATTCTTTAATGTTGGATTTCATTCAGATGCATGTTATTTCAAATAACTGAACTGAAACTAAACTAGAAGTTGGTCTTATTTTTATATAGAGTCACGTCTAATAAAAATCTATTTAAAGATTAAACAAAATCAGTAGTCCTGACACTTTAATAAGGCATGCCTCAATAACACATTGTTAAAAATGTGTCATTTGTATATTTAGTCAAATCTTCACTTACTCATTATGTAAAACCCACATGGAAGTGGAGGGATAGGTTAAAGGGAAACCTTTGACATTTTAGGGTGCTACCAACTTAGGAAGCTCTAGAAAGGTCAAAGTCCTCCTGATGGTTCGGCTACATGTTCTTTCACCTGGCCTCAAAAGGGGAAATACAATTTTTTTCTTCACTGGAGTCAGTTGCTTCTTCTTGAGAATGTTTACGCTTCTAATTGTTATCATGAAATTAATAGAAGAATATACCTTTGAGCTGACATTGTGGCCCGCTAAATCCAGGACAGCATCTCCAGTCTAATGAGGTCACAATTTTATGTTGCATCCTGTAGACAGGATTTGATATTCTTTGAGATCTAGACAAGACAGTAATAGGGGGAAGGGTAAATAATTTGTCTCTCAACAAATGATCAATTAGAATAAATAATATAAAGCATTTAGAGCAGTGCCTGAAATACCATAAGAATTTAGTAAGTGTTAGCAGCTATTGTTATAATCATCATCTCTATCATCAATATTCCTGCCAAAATTAGAATTCCTTGAGAAATTACAAAAAGTGGTAGTGTTTATGAAGCAGGCCAGCTTTAGGTTTAGCAGGACGGCAGCCATTTTGAAATTAAGAAAGGCTTCTAATGAGAACAATCTGACCAAGTACTAAATCAGGGGTGGGATCTATTTGAGAAATGGTCAGATGAGAAACCCGAAATAGGTATTTGAAGTAAAACAGAAATCAGGTTAATTACTCAGGGGAGAGCAATTGACTCTGACTGAATGCAGTGAAGGATGATTTGCACTGGTTTGCATCTTGAACCTTTAAATACCAAGAACATGTTGCTCTTTCCAAGACGGTTTGATGGTGCTTGCTGACTGTCTCCCTGTTGCAGAAATAAACTCTCTTCTCTAGCCTCTGCCTCTCATTTCACCAATTGCAAGACAAAGCAGCCAGACTTAGTTTGCCAGTAACCATTACACTTTTTAATATTTTAAATTGATACCTATCTCTCTATCTTCCAAAGTTATTGCAGCTTTTCTCTGGATAATGGTTTCATCTAAATCAATGGTGAAACTTATTTTAATTCCAATAAGATAACTTTAGTTCTATTATTGTTCATATTGTTAGAGTTAATAGGATCTTCATTTTTTTCCAGATCAACATTGAACAACTTGGAAAAAATTGGATATTAGTGATCTAACTGAAATTATGCTTAATTACTACCAATTTCAACCTGCATGGTCTCATCTCGCAAGTTTTAAAATGATAATACATGTTACTATTACTAACATATAGTGTTTTTCTGAGAGTTGGGGATTGGGGGGAGAAGAGATTGAACATGAGAAAATATTACTTGAGATAAAAACCATAGAAGAGAAATGAAGAAACTATAACATTTCAGTACAACAATCAAAAAATAGGCAAATTGTGCTAAATTATAGGCTCTTTGTATGTGAATGCAAGTCATAGGTAGAACTTGGCTGTATTATTCTCATCTACATGACTTCATTAGTTAATAATAGCTAATGATATTTATTTAGTGGGTCTATGAAATGAGTACATATGATCTGGCTTAATCCTTACATTGATCCTATAATGGTTTTTTTTTTTTTTGAGAGGTTTTTGCTATAGGGCGCGTGCGCTCGCCAGACAGACAGAGAGAGACAGAGAGATAGAAAGCGAGAAATCACCCCCCAGAGGGGATGGCCATGCCGCAATCCCTTCTCCTCCATTCTCCTCTTGGGACCTTGGGCACGCACGCACATGCACCCAACGTGAGTTTAAGCCACCAGGTCCGGGATGCGAACTGCGGTCAACTATGTGAGAGTCCAGCAACATAGCCATTATGCTAACTGCTGGTCCTGATCCTATAATGGTTTTATTGTTATTCTAATTTGCTGATGAGAAACGCAAGAACAGAGATACAACATAACTTGTTCAAAGTCCCATATCTTAAAGTAGTAGAGTTGGGATGTTTACCTATTATCCTAGAGTTTGTTACATATAACTATGTGGAGACAACAGTCACCCACGTGACTAATCCTTGAACATGGAGAGGAAATGCAATAGAACAGACTAGGCTTTCCAAGATTTGGGTTTTCCTCCTTCCTTCCTTCCTTTCTTTTTATTTTGCTAGAGGGTATGTGCACTCCCCACAGAGGGACAGAAGGACACAGAGAGAGGATGAATCACTTCCCTATGGGGAATGATTATGCCACAGTCCTTTCTCCTCCATCTGCCCCTTTTCTTAAGATTTTGGGCACACACAGACATGCACCCAGCATGTTTCTCAAGCTGCCAGGTCTTGGATGCAAACTGTGTAGTCAGTCATGTGGGATCTTACTGTCTTAACCACCAGGTCATGGAGCTGGCATTCTGTACACATATATTTTAAATTTGTTTATTCATTTTCTCAGAGAGAGAGGCACCCCTGACATGAGTCCTTATGCTGTAACCCACCTCAGTCTTAGTTGGCCTATATCATGTGCATGTGCATGTTCTCAGCGCCCTGGTGGTCCCAGGCTGTGAACCCAAAACCTTCCTGATGTGAGATCACTTGTGTTACCACTGCGCCACCACCAGGCTCTACATTATAACTCAGTACATCAGAAGATGTTCTCAATGTAAAATGAGCTATAAAATTATTTTTACTTCTGAAAGCAGACTAATCATTTATCTCTACTTATTTAAATGATAGTTGATATTAACTCTGAAATAGCTTCAGTCCAATAATTAAAACTAAATAAAAAGTAAGGCAGTTTAGAAAGGAACTTTTTAGAGCTTGTAGGGGTGGATTCAAGCAGTTGGTGTAATTATTGTTGAGCTCGACATTCCTTTGGCAAACTAAGTATCTGTTGTAGATAGCTCAACATAAGCAAAGGGAAGCATGTCAAGTATTGCTGAAGTCCTGAAATAGTGAATGAATGGAGACTCATTCAAGGGCATATAAAGGTAAGTAATGAGAATAAAGATATAGGGACCAGCAGTTAGCGTAATGGCTATGTCACTGGACTCCCATGTAGTCGACAGTGGTTGGCATTCCAGACCCAGTGGCTTAAAACTCACACCGTGCATGTGTGCATGCATGCCTAAGATCCCAAGAGAAGAATGGAGGAGAAGGGATTGCGGCATGGCCATCCCCCTGGGGGGTGATTTCTCGCTGTCTCTCTGTCTCTCTCTGTCTGTCTGGCGAGCGCATGCGTCCTATAGCAAAAACCTCTCCAAAAAAAAAAAAAGAAGAATAAAGATACATATTTCTGTTTTACTTAAAGAGAAGGAAAAAAAAAATAACTCACCTTGAATCTAGAAGGGAAGTATGACAGAGGTTATCATGGTAATATTTTCATTACTAAAGAGTTAACAGTGCATTCGTTGTGTCTCACCGTAACAATGAAATTGTCACAAAGTGAGTAAAATACTGAGGGCAGAACCAGAGCTCAGCTCCCCCAAATCCCTAAGATGTGCTTAGCTCTCTGGACCGTGAACCTTAGCTATCCCTCAAGGGACTAAGAAACACCTTGATTTTATGCATCCTTACTGTGCACTGTTCCAGATTGCCCCTGTATCAGATTCACTCCTGACTTATTTGCATGGCAATTTGCATAGGCTTAGCCATCCTGGCCTGAATAACAACTTTAGTTTTTATTGCAGGCTCTTCAGAAACACCCCCCCAGCTCAGCTGCTGAGTGTATGAGTTCAGAGAATTATCAATTACTCAGTCCCACATTTTAGGATAATGGTGCAGTTTTTCTGTTTGTTTGTTGTTGTTGTTGTTGTTGTTTTTTAAGTGAAGACCAAATACCAAATACCATGGTTGAGGAAAATAGACACATGCCCACAAAAAAGATTCTGCTTAGCCACTACATCGTGCATAATTGAAATTAGTGGCTTTCCAAATTTTAGAATATAAGCCAAGTAACACTTCTCTCTGAACTAGTGTGAAAAGAATATTATTAATAAGACTTGGGAACCAGCAGTTAGCGTAATGGCTATGTCGCTGGACTCCCACGTAGTCGACCGCGGTTCGTGTCCCGGACCCGGTGGCTTAAAACTCACGCCAGGCGCGTGTGCGTGCGTGCCCAAGATCCCGAGAGGAGAATGGAGGAGAAGGGATTGCGGCGTGACCATCCCCCCTGGGGGGTGATTTCTCGCTTTCTGTCTCTCTCTGTCTGTCGGGCGAGCGCACGCGCCCTACAGTGAAAACTCTCTCCAAAAAAAAATAAAATAAAATAAGACTTCAGAATTATGTATATATTTCATAACGAACGAGAGGATAAGACTGATGATCAGGTCACAGAATAAAAGTAACAGAAAAATATATATAAAAAATAAAACCAAAAAAAAAAAAAATAAAACACCGGTCATCAGGAAAGTCATGTTGTATTTCTGCATAGAAAAACTTAGGAAAATACATCAAAACTTTCTGGATAACCCAATAAAAGTAATAGTGATAATAACAATAGGAACAAGCATGAGTGTTAACATTGAGTAGTCACAATACACAAGACACCACAGTAAGGAGATCACGGCATCATCTCATCTGATTCTAAAAGCACACATATGAGGCAAATATTAGGGTCTGCATTTGAAGTTTCCGAGGGTCATGCATCTATTCTTGTCTGATGCCGTCTCCTGGTTCTACTACACTTAGTGCCTGGGATGGCTAACTTTCTCTAATCCCAGATGAATGTGACTATGGCGTAAGCAGCAGCTATTTTCGAGAAACATGACTCACCTCTGAGGACAGGATCCCCCGGTCCAGCCACAGGCCCCTCTCCCAGCTGGAACATAAGTGACCTGGTTGTCCGCTATGACTGTGGGAGATAACCTGGTATGTACATAAGCACACCAGTTCCTAAGGCAAAGATCATTATTGTTAGAAAGAAGCATTGTCAAAAAAGAATGTTTTCATCAAAATTATTTTCACAGACCTTTTACTACTTCTGCCAGTATTGTAGATCAGATATCTTAAAAGATTAACAACTGGCTTCAAACATCTAACAAGGAGAGACAACAAACTTTTCACTGCAGTGTTGTACTCAGGGAAAGTATGCAGGAAACCTCTGTGGTTTCAGTAACTACATTTCAGTTACTTATGGTCATCTGCGGTCCAAAAATAGTAATGGAAAATTCTAGAAATAAACAACTTATACATTTTAATTTATTCTGAGTAGCACAATGAAATCTCACAATGTCCCACCCCATCACTTTGGGGACAGGGATTCCATTGGCTGAGCATGTCTGCACTGTATATGCCACCTTCTCTTTAATTACTTAAGAGCCATTTTGGTTATCAGGTCAAAGAAACATGGCACATAGGGAACTTAGTACCAGCCATGGCATCAAGCAGCCAGTGGGGTCTTGGAACATCTACACCACAAATAAGGGGAGTATAAAGAAACACCACAAGATCAAAATAGAGAAAAAAATGAAACAGAGTCCAAACTAGAACATGCGATATTTAGATGTGAGTTAAGTCAAAATCCAAAATTGCCCTTCTAAGGATTATTAGTAAGACTTGAAGATCTAAGTCCATGACATTAAGTAATATGCAATAAGACATAGGGGAATAAATAAATAACTGACATATAGATCAAAAAAGTAGGAAAAAACCCTATTATTAGCAGTAGATAATATAAGTGGAAATTAAAAGAACAAAATATATTTCAGATGTAAATTATTATAATGAATTCAGTAAAAGAACAAAATATATTTCAGATGTAAATTAAGATATGAATTCAGCAACATAATAAAACTCAATATAAATGTTTATAATTAATGAAGAATTAACTATATAAATTTAGTCACAAGGTTAAGTTACATTTTTGTGTACCAACAAAAAACTCAAAAAATTATTGTAAAAAAATACCAATAAGAATAAATCTAACAAAAAGCATGAGATATAATGTATAAAAAGTTTAAGATTTACTGAAAAACCTTAAAGAAAAATCCAATAAGTCATGCTAATTGATGGGAAAACCCAATGTAATAATATCAATTATCCTCAATTTTGTCTACAAATTCAATTCATTAAAAAATTGCTATATTGTTTATGTGTGCACCAGAGAGGGACAGAAAGAAAGAGATAGGGAAAGTGAGGAAGCAACCCTGATGGGTGAGGAGAGAAGGGAGGTGGGGTACATGGGGAGTGATGAATACACAGCAATCCCTTCTCTTCCATTTTCCTCTTGGGAATTTTTTTCTCCTCTTGGACATATATGCACACACTACCAGCATGTTTCTCAAGTGTCCTGGTCTGGCACTCAAACTATGCAATCGGCCATGTGGGATCCAAGTACCGAGACCATGCCACTGGCTGGCCCATCAATGCATTTTCATAAAGCAAAGTGTAGTGGTATTTGGAGTTAAACAAGATTTTTATAAAAATTTTATATAGTAAACTAAAAACCTGGATTTTGGAGAACTCTGGCTCTGGCCATAAAAGAGTATCAGATTTACCTTCCTATGGTAAAAACTATAAATCTAGACAATATATAAAACAGTGGTTTTCAGACACTGAACAGCAAACAGCGCTGTGAAGTGATTCTTAAGAGAAACACATGATGCCCATACCACATTTAATCTAGCTTTATTACTAGGAACAACTTTCAAATTAAATCACAGAAGAATGGATTTCCAAAAGAGGGAAAAAAACATATAACGAAAGTAGAGATCTGAATTGGGGCTACTAAGGGATTAAAATATGTAAGGTCAGATCAATGAAAAGAGGGGGCTGCAAAGTGATGTTATTCTAAAAGCTAAACACCAAGGTCCCCTTGAATCAGGGACTAAAAACTGTGTTGTGCTTGCAGACAATAAAATCCATTCTTTAATAAACTAGCATGCACAATGCCTCATATGAACAAAAAATAAACAAAAGTACATATGAGAAGAAACAGAAAAATAGGACTGATTCATGAGTGAAAATCCAGTAAGTAAAAGCAAAACAAACAAACAAACAACACCTAAACTAAACTGAGATGGCACAGATGTTTAGATCAGCAAAGTGTCTTCTAAGTAGTTAACTATTAAAGAATAATAGTTGTAGAAATTAAAAAAAGAGTGGTTGAGCTTAACAGAAATTTGGACAGCATAAAAATTAAGATCAATGAACTTGAAGACAAGGCAATAGAAATCAGCCAAACTAAAGTATAGAGGGAAACAATTTTAAAACATAAGTGAACAAAAACTCAAGTGGTCTAAGATTATGCAGTTAGAGTTGTAGGAATGTAAAAGTGAGATAGATGAGGAAAAAATAAACATTTGAAGAATCTTTTTGTAAATTTGATTTAAAACAAAAAAGAATCCTATGTCTAAGATGATCAATGAATTCCTAGAGGATAAACATAAAATAAAATCTCACTTCTGTACATCACATACAAATTTCAGATAACAATATATTAAAAGAAAAAATTGATATGTTAATCAGTTTGATTCAATCATTCCATACCATTATCCATCTCTGGCATCTATTCATGGCAGATAAATTGGGCATTATAGGATTTATTGTGTCAAGTTCTTTTGAATGAGATGTTTAAAAATTCAGGCTCTTTAAAGGGATACAAAGACACATTGGCACATTTTGTTAAAGCACAGTAATACCTGAGGGAAAAATGATGTGAAATGAAGAATGGAAAAAGCAAGAAATAAAAATAAGGTGGAATTTAAATTAAGATAACCACATTATAGGGGTCTTTTAAAAAACAACTACCATAGATTCCTCATGCAAATCCAATGATCATCCTAATTACTAATGACCACTTTCAACAGAAGCACAATTAAATTGTCTCTCACTTGACCATGTTGTTGAATGACTATGGAGGGTGGAGTGTAGGCCAGGGAAAATTAAAGGTACTACCATCTCTTCATACTTGGGGTTTCTAAGAGAGAAAAAAGATAGCTTTATTTTCTGTGAGTTGAAATGGGATTTTCACCTACAGAGAACTTTTAAAATCCTAAAGAGTAAAATAATCTCAAGATTAAAATAGTTGAGAAGGCAAAGAAACAGATCGGCAGATTGCATGGCCCAGCAATCTTTGATCCAGTGTAAATGGGAAAAACTATCCACAGTCGAAGAGCCCCTGGTGTGACTCGTAATTAGGTTTATGCTACCAATGAAATAAGCTCATTAAGGGATGTTAAAAATGTAAATAAAATTTTAAAAGCAAATTATCTGAAAATGTAGGTTTAAAAATAGAAAACCCACAAGCATGGCAAAATGGTGACAGGCAGTTTAAAGGCAAATGCAGTGAGCCCAGATAAGCATTTTGCTTAAACTCAGAAATCCTTTGTACCTTTCCAGACTAATTATGGTGGATGCAGAGTTACTTTGAAGTGTTTAGCTTTCCATGAGGCCATAACCCTCAATCCAGCAGGCTGCATTTGGGATTCTCTTTATGTGTAATAACTCTGTTGCTTTTGTGCAGCAACATGTAATGAAAAAAGCTTAGACTGACTCTTTGGACTTTCCAAGTTAATAGGTAAAAGGTTTGTTCTAGGGAAAGCAGACATCTTTGGTTATGTGCAAAGACCTTGCTCATTGAACAGATAATACAAAAGATGAAAAGGATTTTGCCATGACTAGTAATATTCAAAGGCTTAAGGATGATGATGATGAGAGAAAGCATTGTAAATCATTTGTGGTTTTGACTTGGACATCTTAGAAATTCAATATGTCAGGGGACTAGTAAGAAAACTAAGAATTAACTTCCATGAATTGACCAAATCATGGCCCAGTCATAACCATTCTTATCCTAAACTAAGTGAACTGAAGCTACAAGGAAGCCATTAAATAGCAACCCACCAAATATTTTCCTTAAGAAATAAGGACGGAAACCAGAAGTTAGCGTAATGGCTATGTCGCTGGACTCCCACGTAGTCGACTGTGGTTCGCGTCCCGGACCCGGAGGCTTAAAACTCATGCCGGTCGCGTGTGCGTGCATGCTCAAGATCCCGAGAGGAGAATGGAGGAGAAGGGATTGCAGTGTGACCATCCCCCCTGGGGGGGTGATTTCTCGCTTTCTGTCTCTATGTCTCTCTCTGTCTGTCTGGCGAGT